TACCCCCCTGGATATGTTTGAGTTAGCCGGTTGGCCCAATCCAAAACATACGCGCTCTGGCTAAGCTGTACTACGACGCTGGTTATCAAGTGGATCGCTCAAGCCAGCCGTGTCCTATCTAGTTAGGTGCGCGTTCACATGAAAGGGGTGGTATTTGGAGCATTCGACCAATCACAAACATGGACAAGCGTACTGACAGCGCAGCGTCATACTTCCTGAATGAAAAGTGAACTTTAATATTAGTCAAATATGAAGAAGTTAAACTTTAAACATCCATGACTTAAACACTTTATCCAGGATAAAAGCCACATAGCTGCACCTGCAAGGTGAATACAGCTGGTAAAAGAAAAAGCGTTTGAATGCGTACATTAACAGGTTTATGAAATCACTGCCATTTGACTCGAGTGTTTCGTCAACTTAATGTGTTGCTTAAAATAATACTTCTGCATACAGTATGTGACACTGTGAGTGTTGCACGGCCAGATACGGCTCAAGAAGCTGACTCAGATAAGGAAATATATGATACATTATGATGTGATATGATATGAATGATAATGGGACACATCGACGTCTGCACTCACAGTGCCGCAGACTGTACTTAATGTTACTCTGATCCGGTTACTTATGTTGTGGCAGATATTTAAGTAAGCTTTCTTAACGCTAATGTTATAATAGTCCGATTGCTCTGAAGATGGGAGGGGTTATTCTATTAATTTTCACGTTCACACAGTCAGTTGATTTTTGCCGGCCGTCTTTCCTGCAACGGCAGTTTTTCTGTAATTCCTCTATCCTGTAATATGACTTGATAGCTTTAAACTCCGCACACTGAGCTCTGATTGGTCAGCAGGCGGTGCTTTCACTGAGTTGATCTCTTAGCCTGCAACCTAACCTCCTCCTGAGGAGGTTAGCCGCTCAGCATAAGTTACCATGGAGATCTAGCCCGCTAAAAAGAGAACCGGCGTCGTAGGACCGGAAAGCCCGAGTTTTCCCTGAAGTCAGCCGACTAAGCGAAAATCCGGCTTCGTAGTACAGGGGGGTATACTACGAATCTAGTTCAACATATCCTGGATATGTTTTGAGTTATCCGGTTGACTAAATCCAAAAAAAAAACGCTCTCGCTAAACGGTCCTACGACGCTGTCTATCAACTCGATCACTCAAGCCAGCCGTGTCCTATCTAGTTAGGTGCGCGTTCACATAAAAGGGGTGGTATTTGGAGTGTTCGACCAATCACAAACATGGACAAGCCGTGTACTGACAGCGCAGCGCGTCATATATTTCCTGAATGAAAAGTCAACTAATATTAGACAAATATGAAGACGTTAAACTTTAAACATCCATGACTTAAACACTTTATCCAGGATAAAAGCCACATAGTTGCAGCTGCAAGGTGAACAGGCTACAGCTGGTAAAAGAAAAAGTGTTTGAATGCGTACATCAACAGGTTTATGATATGCCCCGTCTAAGACACGAGTGGATCTGACTTTAATTACATTTGACTCGAGTGTTTCGTCAACTTAATGTGTTGCTTAAAATAATACTTCTGCATACAGTATGTGACACTGTGAGTGTTGCACGCCAGATACGGCTCAAGAAGCTGACTCAGATAAGGAAATATATGATACATTATGATGTGATATCATGTTATATAGATAGATAGATAGATAGATCGTACTTTATTGATCCCAAATTGGGAAATTGTTTTTGTTACAGCAGCATAAAAGGCATTTTACAATAAAACAAAAATATACAAGAATAGAATAAAATAAAATATAAAATATAAAATATACATGTCAAAATACAAAATAGAAAATATACATACAGATATTATATATATATATACAAATATATATATATTCAAAATATATGGAATTATGGAGTATTAAATATGAAACAGATTATGTATGAGTAAAATGTACAACGTGGTTTTATTTCTAGAGAAACTATGGAGCAGAGAGTTCTCTTCCAGCCAGAGGTGATTTGTTGTACAGAGTTATTGCAGTGGGCAGGAATGTTTTCCAGTATCTGTCCTTGTGGCAGGGGAGCTGCAGCAGTCTGTTGGAGAAGGAGCTCCGTTGACTGTCCAGCTGTAGGTGGAGAGGATGGGTGGGGTTATCCATGATGGACAACAGCCTGTTCAGTGTCCTCCTCTCCACCACAGCTTCAAAGGGGTCCAGCTTGATGCCGATGACTGACCCAGCTTTCCTGATCAGTTTATTGATCCTGCTGGTGTCACCGGCTCTGATGCTGCCCCCCCAGCAGACCGCAGCAAAGAAGAGTGCACTAGCCACAACAGACTGATAGAAGATCTCCAGCATCTTACTGCATACGTTGAAGGATCTCAGCTTCCTCAGAAAATAGAGTCGGCTCATCCCCTTCTTGTACACAGCGTCAGTGTTGATCCTCCAGTTCAGCCCATTGTCTAAGTGCACTCCCAGGTACTTGTAGACCTCCACAACTGCCACATCCTCTCCCAGAATGCACAGGGGCAGAGGAGGAGATGTCCTCTTCCTCCTGAAATCAATGACCATCTCTCTGGTCTTGGCCACATTCAAAAGCAGATGATTTCTTCCAGTCCACTCAACAAAATCACCCACCAGCGCTCTGTACTCCTCCTCCCGTCCATCCCTTATACACCCTACCACTGCAGAGTCATCCGAAAACTTCTGCAGATGGCATGACTCTGAGTTGTATAGAAAGTCAGAGGTGTATAAGGTGAACAGGAAAGGAGACAGCACAGTCCCCTGTGGGGCTCCAATACTACCAACCACCACATGAGACAGCACACTGTCCAGCCGGACGTACTGTGGTCTGTCCGTGAGGTAGTTAGTAATCCAGGAGATGGTGGACGAGTTTACCCTCATAGCCTGCAGCTTGTCACTCAGTAGCCGAGGCTGGATCGTGTTGAATGCACTGGAGAAATCAAAAAAGGTGATTCTCACAGTGCAACCCGATCCATTCAGGTATGAGTGAGCACGCTGCAGCAGGTAAATAATGGCATCGTCCACCCCCAGGTGAGGCTGGTAGGCAAATTGCAGAGGGTCAAGGAATGATCTCACCTGCGGTCTGAGATGGGCCAAGACCAGTCTCTCAAGCACCTTCATCACATGAGATGTGAGTGCTACAGGGCGATAGTCATTGAGCCCAGAAGGAGTTGTCTTTTTAGGGACCGGAACAACGCAGGACGTCTTCCACAGCACCGGGATGGTCTCCAGGTGCAGGCTGAGGTTGAAGAGATATTGGAGAACAGGAGCCAGCTGGCGGGCACAGGTCCTCAGGACCCTGGGGCTGATACCATCAGGGCCAGCAGCCTTGCCTTGGTGGAGTTTTTCCATCTGACTCTGGACCTGTCCTGTGCTCACAGTGAAGCGGGGGGGGGGGGCTTGATGGCAGGGGGGATAGAGGGGGGGGGGGGTCTGAGGCAAGATGAGCAGAGGGGGGGGGGGGGTCAGCTGCAATGTGAGCAGAGGGGGGGTGCAGAAGCCATGCTGGGTGGTGGAGGGGAGGTGAGAAGTGTAGGTGGTGAGCAGAGGGGGGATGTTGACGCCAGGCTGAGAGGAGGAGGTGAGGTGAGAAGTGGAGGTGGAGGAGACAGCAGCGGGCGGAGAGCTAAACCTATTAAAGAAGGTGTTCAGCTCGTTGGCCCTCTCCAGGGTGCCCACAGTCAGTCTGTCTCTCCCTTTGAAGCCAGTGATAGCCTTCATCCCAGCCCAGACATCCCTGCTATTGTTCTGCTGGAGCTCAGCTTCTTCCTGTAAGAATCTCTGCCCCTCCTCAACTTGTCTCTCAGCTCATGCTGGATACTCTTCAGCATTGATTTGTCCCCAGACTTAAAAGCTTCCTTTTTCTTATTTAAAAGAGTTTTCAGGTCACTAGTAATCCAGGGTTTATTGTTGGGGAAACAGTTGACAGTTTTAGCCGGTAATATTGTTTGTTCACAGAAGTTGATGTATTCTGTGATGCAGTCAGTCATATTATTGATGTCCTCTCCATGTGGCACACAAAGCACGTCCCAGTCAGTGGTCTCGAAGCAGTCCTGTAGAGCCTCATTAGCCCCAGGAGTCCATTTCCTCACAGTCCTGGTGGATACAGGCTGCCTCTGCACCAGAGGGACATATTTAGGAGCCAAAAAGACAAGGTTGTGGTCAGATCTGCCCAGGGGGGGGAGGGCAGTGGCACAATATGCATTCTTGGTATTTGCATATAGAAGATCCAGAGTATTATTTCCCCTGGTGGGGCATTTCACATACTGAGTGAATGTAGGCAGAGATTTGTCCAGTTTTGCACGGTTAAAATCCCCAGTTATTGTTATGAATGCATTTGGGTGAAGAGTTTGGAGTTTGGGATAATGGGACACATCGCCGTCTGCACTCACAGTGCCGCGGACTGTATGCTACGTAATGTTACTTTGATCCGGTTACTTATGTTGTGGCAGATATTTAAGTAAGCTTTCTTAACGCTAATGTTATAATAGTCAGATTGCTCTGAAGATGGGAGGTGATATTCTATTAATTTTCACGTTCACACAGTCGGTGATTTTGGCCGGCAGTCTTTCCTGCAACGGCAGTTTAAACTGTATTTCCTTTCTCCTCCTGTCATATGAATTGATCGCTTTAAACTCCGCACACTGAGCTCTGATTGGTCAGCAGGCAGTGCTTTTATCCTGGAACCTATCCTGCTCCGGAGGCTAGCCGTTCAGAATAAGTTATCTAGCCCGCTAAAAAGTGAACCAGCTTCGTAGGACCGGAAACCCCTGAAGTTAGCTTGCTAAACGAAAATCTTGATTCGTAGTATACCCCCCAGGCCTCAGGTCTCACTGAATCTATTAGAATGTTTCAGCTAATTCAGAACGCTGCTGCTGGATCACATCACTCCAGTTCTGAAGTCTTTACACTGGCTTCCTGTATGTGATCTGCTTACATTGCCCACACTGTCACTTTATGAGTATTGTAGACTTATACATTGAAATTGGACAAACACGACAAAAACACAATGTTTATAATAATATTTAGATTTGTATTGTTTTCCAACGTTTTATTGGAGCTAAAGTAAAAAATGGTAGAGAAAGAAAAAAGAGCAGATAAATAAAAAGTTATTAAAATATTATTTTTCCTCTATACAAACCACAGTGATCCTTTACAACTGCACAGTCTTACAAATTGTCTCCTCTTGCACAAACTGTTATATACATTATCCTAATAAAATCATGATGTAACAGATATTCTGGCTAAATGATTGTATTTACTGAAAAATCATAAACAGTGTAGTCTACAGATGTTTTGAACCAGTACATAGTGTGAAGAAATACAAATAGAAGATACACAATGTATTTAATTAGCTGAGTAAAGAATCCACTTTTGCTTTATTTGGTTGGTAACAGAAACTAATTTGTTCTGAATCACAGGAAAAGTTCCTTTTCATTTAAAAATAAAAACATTCCTATGATTATAATTTTAAAATTGAAAATATAAAAACTGTTTTTATGTACCTAATGTGTTTGATATAGTGATTTAAAATAGGCAGGAAAGGAAGTGTGAGTATATAGATTGTAATCATTTCCTCCCCCCCCGCACACTATTTTGAAGTAAGTAAAACAGTCTTCGCTCGGTATCTAAAATCTGTGACTAGAGAAAGATATAAAAGTTAAATGAATGGTAACATTTCAAACACAGTACAGTATACCACGTGGAGTGTGAGACTAGTTTTCTCTGTCAATGAACTGCAGGTTGATGGGGTCGGCAGGGCAGAGCAGGCCATGGGTTTTGGACTTGACTTCAGAAGTGAGAGGAGAAACGCAGATGTGGAACTTTTGAATGAGCTGTACAAGGAGCAAAGACACAAACATGTCAATCAGAAGATATTAATCATTGACTATCAGAACATTTGCAATTGTGTTTTTAAAAATTGCTAGTAGCACAGCTGGGAGCGGTCAAGCTTCCTCATAAATTAATTATTGTTTGCATTATTTTTAAATATTGCAGCTTTTTGTGTGTATGATCCCTACCGGTGAAACACCTGAATACCCGAGGTCTGTTGAATCAGCTCATTTAAATCAGGGATAACAACAATATTGTGATGTTGTTGTTGTTATTGTTATGATATTACTGCAGCTTACTTGTGTGTTTGATGTGATTTATCTATTTAAGCCACTGTAAAGCACATCATATTTCTGAATAGTGCTCTTTGAATAGAATTGCCTTGCCTCAGAAGCTCATTCAGCTACATTTCATTTGTTTATATAACTAGATGTATTTATTTATTAATATATTCAATTATTTATTTCTCCTACCCTTGTGAGAGCCAGATGCATCTCTAACTCAGCTATTCTCTTGCCGATGCAGCTCCTGATGCCGTAGCCAAAGGGAATTGAGCCAAAGTTGTCCACTCGATCTGTGGAATCTTTCCGTATCCAGCGAGACGGCTGGAAGTTTAGAGAATCGTGGAAGTTCTCTTCATCGAAAGACGTGGAGTAGTGACAAAGGGCCAGCTGAGTCTAGTGAAATGAGCAAACAACAAAATGTCAGTTATGTGAGGAAACAGCTGGGCTATTGTACATGCATGTGTATGAGACCGAGGAACAGAAAGGTGTATGAGCAATGCTGGATCGTGTTACATCTGGTTCCCCCGACATGTTTTCTTTGGCTAACTTTCATGGTGACGCTTTTTCTTCAGCACATACACACATGAGGAATCACATCTTTTATATTTCTTTCAGTCTTACCCCTTTGGGGATGAAGTATCCGCCCACCACCAAGTCATCCTGGGTAATCCTTCCGTTGCCAGGGAGAACTGGAAAAAGCCTGCTCCCAGGGAGGGGTGCATAAAACACAGGGGGGGGGAAATTAAATCTACTCGTGAACATATTTAACAAAGTCAAGCCCTAATTTATAAAGTCTATTAAACCATTGCTCTGTTGTTTTCACTCACTGCAAGTTATAGCAAACCAAAAGCAAAACCTAAGACTTTGACAATAAGAAAAAAGCTTAATAATTAAAAACCAACGCAGTGTGTACCTGAGTGTCTCTTTGACCAGCCCTCTGATAAGAGGCAGGCGAGAGACATCGTCTGCTGTGGCCACTGCTCCCGGTCCAAGAGTTTTGGTCACTTCGGTGTAGATTTGCTGCTGTATATGTGGGTGCCGCGCTAAAAGGTAGCTGGCCCATGAAAGGGTGAAGGATGTCTGTGAAAAACAAAAGTGTATTTTGAATATTTCTCTCAACATTCCTTTTTTAATTTGTAGTATATTAGTATTGTTCATTTGTTCTTAAATCTCTTTGGAAAATGTATGCCTATGTTTTTCTTGATACTTTTGCAATACACGCTGATAAAGAGTTAGGATGTTGTATCTGTATGTGCATGTGTGCACTTAAAAAAAAAACATAACTGTGTGTATTTGTATGTCCCTATATTAGAAGCATGTTCATGTATACAAAAAACAGAGTGGAAAAACTGAATTACAATAAATCTTCTTAAGCAGATATGAGACCAGCTTTCACACCCAGACGCTTATCCCTAGTGATCTTGCCTTACTCGCCCTTTTCAGCCAAATCCTATACACTTAATAGCATTACAGTGAGTAGATTACCTCAAATAATATAAGGATACCGCAGATTTAAAAATAATCCTGATTAATTAGAGAAACAAAGATATTAATCCAATTACATTTAACTTGAATTCTCAAACTCTGACACGCTATTGCCCAATCTCACAGATTGGTAGTGCCCTGCCAACTTCTATTATCTTCTGTTCTCAACTCTGCCAAACTGTTATTTTTTCAAATCTCACAGACATCTTAATTTCAATAACGTAGGCAGATAGGTAAATTATAGTGCGTTATATTTTCTTTTATGAAATCTTATCTTTACTGACTGTGCTGTTAGCTTGTTGCCCTAGCCTACTATTGACTTCATTTCTTGATATCCTGCCCATCTTTTCATCTGGCCTCTTTACTTTTTCAACCATGCATTTTATGACATGGATTGGTAGAAGACGAGTAGACTAATGATCAAAATAGTCTCTTTCACTGTATCACAGGTCTCATCATCCTTCTCACTGTTGTGTCTCGCACCTCCCTCTCCCCCCTACTCTAATCTAATCAGACAGGGACAGATGCTGTTGACACCTCAGACAAAGCTGGACAGGAATCATATGACAAAAGCTCATCATGTAACAGTTCAGAAAGGCCTGGACCTCTCCTCTTAAATCTCTCACATCTTTTTTTAATTTAAAACACCAATGACTCGTCTTAAGCCCCCCGAAGACGCTAGTTCCCAAACTTTTTTCCTGTTTCTTGAAAGATTCCCTTTTCCTCAAGCTCTTTATTGTCCCCCTCATCGCACCTCTGGTCAGTCTGTGCTATAATTCTGTCTGTGGCTAACATGTCTTGACAGCTCTCTTGTGTGCCGAGTAAGGGTAATACACCATGGGGTCAGGTAATGGCTTAGTTAAGCCCACCCCCTACCGGGACGTGGCCGTTGCAACACGTTAAACAAAAACACACCCATTTATCCTGTGGCCCCCAGCTCAGAACAAAAGAGTCTGCTCTCATAATTATCATTAACCTGACAGTACCCCCAACAAATTAGGTAGGAACAGTGCAAATGTGCACACAGTATACACAGATACACAAGCACCTAAAAAGAAATGCACTACATTGACAATAGACCTACAGTCCTTACAGTACAATATCTATTTAATTTAGTTTTAATTTAGAAGCACATGAACGCTCAGCACAGCTGTCTGATGGAGGAGAATAAAAGAGACAAAAGCCCCCCTGTGTAGATATAACAGACAATGACATATGAAAAGAAACTAAAGCTGAGTGAGAACAAGTTTGTCAGAGGGATACTATGTAACCTCCGATTCACTGTTCTGACCTGACGCTGGCACAGCTACACAGGAATGGATGTGGCGCCAGAAACCTAACCCTTGAAACCCAAGACTGACACACACACACACACACACACAGGGATTACACAAAACACACACCGTGTCGACCCCAGCCAGCAGCATTTCCGTTAAATTGGCGTAGATCTCCTCCAAGTTCATTTCCCTGGTAACGAGCATGTGTGTGAGCATCCCCCCCTTCACCTCCTCTCCCCGCTCCACTTTGGCCTTAATCTCCGAAAGTCTCTTATCGACGTGAATCTGACCTTGAATTAGAAAGCAACAAAGAAGGTAGGATGAATGGAAAGGGAGGAAGTAGGGGGAGTTGAAGGAGGGTAGCGAGGGAATTGAAAAAAATGAACAGGTTATGCAACTGTGGGACCCCATACTCCCACTACCCCATGGCAGAGCAGTGAGGTTTATATGCAAATCAACATTCCTTTCTATTGATGCAAGGCTTTTATACAAAAAAAGTAGGGTTTTCGGTTTAAGGAGTACAGCTGGCAAAGCATTATCTAACATGTTTACCAAAAAAGTAGTAGTAGTAGTAGTAGTAGTAGTAGTAGTAGTAGTAAAAGTCATCATTACAAACATGTTTCCAAGTGGAGGATGTGAAAACAGTTGTAAATGTCTCCTGTTGTTCTGGAGAAGCTTGGTAAACAAATCCTGGTGATGTTTTCAAGGGTTATCTTTGCAACAAATTCTTATTGGAAGCGGAGAACAGAATTGCAGTAAAAGCTGTTAAATGAGAAAGTACTGTTGCTACTGCAGGCAGATGGTTTGCTAAAACTAACACGTATACCAAACAGTATTAAAGTAGCTGTCATCTTAGAATATAAGTAACATTCTCACTGAATTTGAAGAGGCCATCCCAGGAGCAACAGAACTCGTCCCAGGGTTTGGGGAAGACAGGTCGCAGCCACTTGGGGATCGCCCCTGCATACATGGTCGTCTTGAAGGAGCTGAACATGAGTTGCAGCGCTCCGATGTAGTCTTGGGTTTCCTGGGGAATTTCATTTTCCAAACAGCCCAGTCGGGACTCGTACAATATGACTGCCACACCTTTAAAAGACAAAAAAGGGATAGGAGGATTAATCTTTTTGGTGATGTTGGAAAGCTGCAACAAGAATTCCTTACTCCTCACTTGTTTCAATGTTAAAGTGTAACTCAAATGTAACACAGGTGCATCATAATGTGGTAAATGTACATTTCATCATTTTTAAATCCATTCAATTCATTCACACAACCTCTGTTGCATCTCTACCAACCTTCCATGGCATATTTGAAGAACAGGTCATTGACATTAAGGACAGTTGCTCCGTCAGACTCCTGGGTGCGCAAAATACGAACTCTATTGATAAGGTCATCGACCACTTCGTTCACATCGTCAGAGAACAATGCTACGTCACGGGGCCGCATGACGAGCTGCCTGAGCACGCTCCGCATCTTCAGCCAGTCTTCTCCCTCCCTGGAGAACACCACACAAGCAGGACATGTTGGCATTGTTTAATGTAATGCAAGACATTTCTGGATATATAGTGGGAACAATCTTGTTGTTTTATTAATGACAAATTACATTTTGGATTGTTTATTTCTTTTAATTTCTCTTATGTTCTATGGCTTGTCTTTTTATGCTGCTGCAACGCAAACTTTTCCCAAATTGGGATCAATAAAGTACTTCTTATCTTATCTTATATATAAAAATAAACAAATAAAATCTTTTAGGATTTGAGCTGTTGTGAAATTGCATTTTCTGTAAATCGCTTTGGACAAAAGTGTTAGCGAAATTAAAAGTATTTTAGTGTGATACTGGTGAAGCTGTTGAAAAACTAAAAGTATGTATGCCAAAAACCATTAGGAAGTAAAAGTGCATAAATACTATCACTAGTAGTGAGCTCACCCTGGAAATGTAGAAAACACACGAAGCCTTGTGCTGTGCCCATCTACACATAATGGAAACTAAAGGGATTATCCTGCTGACCTCAAAGTAATTAACTTCAGTAGGTCTTTGTACAGATTCAATCACTCATCTAAGTTTGAAGTGGCACTCACGCTGAAATGAGGCCAGTGGAACGGCCTCTCATGTCTCTGTACTCCTTCCAGGACTCCATATTCGCTCTCTGAGGGGCCACGCCCTCGGCCCTCAGCACTTCAGCCACCAGGTCACGGTGCGCCACTGAGACCACCAGTTGCGGCCCAAAACGGGACTTAAATATTTTTCCAAACTTCTTACTGTGCTCCATCTATAAAGCAAGAGTCACACATAACAATAAATATTCACATTCAGACTGACATATTCTTTATGAAATTAAAATGTAATGTAATGTTGTTATTTGCAGATATTGGCTATGAGGTTAACTGTTGTCTGTGCATGAATTGTGTGTTGAGCATCCCAATGTTAAGATTACGAGTCCTAAGTAAATATTTACAGCAATTTTAACGCGATTTCTTTTAGCAAACACAACAATAGACTAGGCTCCCCAAGCCAAATGTGTAAATCGTTCTGATTTCTCAGTTACAAGCCTACAACTAGCACAGATTCCCCTATGTGTATTACCTAAAATGATGAATGAAGGGGGGAAATTGCAAGCAAGTTTTTGAGAGTCACTCAATTGGCAAAACGTAAACATGAAAATCATAGCAGTTATTTGAGATTTTTGTCAAAACTATTTGGCAAATAACTTAGAAAAGTAATATCCTTTGATTCCTCATCATTCCGCATGATTTGGTGTAATTTTTGCACACTTTGTGTCAGCACTGCCTAGTTAGTATCATGGCCAAATGTGTGGTCAAAGAAGTATAAGACGCTTACATTTGCCAGAAAATAGACTGTGTGTGGCTCCACCAGGCACATAGAATTACAAAGATTTGGATAACAGTGGTATTAATCCAAAGTGGAGAAAATAGGAAGGGATATGGCAAATAAGATACAGTGTGGGTCATATCATCAGGTTGAGTCAAGTTTTAACACAAGATGAACAGTACTTAGTGATAATGAGTAATTACTTGTCCTGATAAAGAGTACACTGCACCGAGTGGGTGACACACAGGGTAACAAATACTTTTTCTGTGTGCCTGGCAAAGTTTATAACCCGAAATACTTATATTTATTTTTACTTTTTAGTCTTCATCTTCTGCCAGAACTTTTCCCAACATAGCATACATGTCCTTTAAGAGCTGAACATTTAGATAGCTGAATGGTTTACAGGGGGAGTATACAGATGTAGCTAGAGTGCAAACAAATTGAATTATAATAAACTTGAAGAATAAAGATAAGGATAAAAATACTTCTAATTAGTAGTGAGACTAATGAGTATGCTGGATTATGAACAGCGCAAGGCTTTGTCAGGCTCACTGAATAAGAAAGTTTTATCCTATTAAAATGTGGATAAAGTAATGGAATGCATTAGGGCAGATTTGTGTTGTTATCAATGCCGTGCCAATGTGTCAAGTTTCAAAACGTGAGAGATTTAGGGATTATAAGTAATGACGGATTATAGACTGTATGCCTGACAAATCACATTCGAAGTGTTACTGCTCAGACAGCTTAATGAGACATATAACCCCAACATTTAAAATATACACATTTGTTCTCTTACCAGTAATGCTAATAATCAATATAGATTAAGATTATAAGATTATAGATTTTAATGCTATTTTATTTCTATTTCAGAAATACTTTGGACGGTTTATTTCTTGTGTCTTAAATTTCTCTTATTGCCTTGTTTTATATGCTGCTGCAACTCAAACAATTCCCACATTGGGATCAATAAAGTACCTATCTATCTAACTATCTATCTAAGGTGGGAGGTTCTTGATGTTAGAGATATTGACTGTAGAAATGTCTGCCTTTTCTCAAATAGTATTATGGGCTATTTCATATAAAAGGTGTATTTCTTATTGTATAGAAATTCTTCAAAGAGTAATAAATAAACAGGTTTAAAACCTTAAATTGGATTGAAAAAAAACATTACATTACTTGCAGATGATGCAACTGTTTTTCTTTTTTTAAAAGATTGTCTCATGTATGATTTTAAAAATGTTGCTAAATTAATGTATTAAATGGCACATTTTGATATTGTACCACCATGAGAATAGGACCATTAACTCTCTTAGACCTGGGGGGTCTCCAGCGATCCTGTATGGTCTTTTAAAGGCTGTAGTGGGTTCTCAGTTTAAAAGCTACAGTGGAGATCCATTGTCCATTTGTCATACTAGCTTGTCCCAAAGGAGGCTAAACAGCGCTCCAAAGTTATATAAAGCTTATATGGGAATATTGGCAGAGGTAACTTGACTTCTCATCAACATATCTGAATCAAAATGGGTTCAATGGGTTTATGAAATTCATAAATCATATCATTTTTTTCTAAAAACTGGACCTTGCTGTATACAATGAGTGTGAGCTCTAGGATGACCACAGCCTTGTGAAACTTTAGAACCACAAATAAATGGTTGAGGGCTTTCAGGGGATGTATGGCAATCAACAAATGAACTTCTTGCAAAATGCTCCAAATGTCATAAGTAATTTTAATGCTTAAATGGTAGTTTTTGTGTGTAATTGTGCAACTGTTTTCTTTTTGCAATCTTTTTTTTCATATTGTAATTGAGATAACATGTTTTGTGTTTTTCAATGAAACACAAAGAAATGATTTTATATGTTAAAAAAAAAAAATTAAAACAAAATGCACAAAGAGAGGAATGGGTTGTGGACACCATTACCTGTATTTCGTGAATTCTGCTGAACCCGTCTCTCCAGAAGAACTCTACCAGGTTGGAGAGGGTGCTGGGTCCAGGCATCTCCCCCAGGCTCAGGATTCTGGGCTTCTCGCCGACAGCCGCCGATGAGATAACACTTTCCGGCATGGCTCCTTCCCCAGCCGCGGAGATCTCAAAAGCATCGCTGGCTGCAGACTTATGCAAGGCGCGGCAAATGAAGAACAGCTGCTTCTTTAGCCGGTCGTTCTGAACTTTCTTCCAGCATGCTGTCGTTAAATGATTCAGCATTGCCATTATTTGGATACTTTTGTTCCGTGAGCACAAAAAAAAGATGTATGATTGAGTCTTTTTGCAAAGTATTTAAACTGCCGAATTTATATCTGCAGATGCTCCTGGCACATTAAGACACCGTCCCCACAGTGAGGAAATGTGATATAACATGGGATGAGTTGCTTGTATAACGTACACTCAGCAGGAGCAGATCCGGAAAAGAGGATTGGACGTTCTTTTCAAAAGAAGGGAGGGATAAGTCTGTTTTCGGTTGTGGGCGTTTCCACCAAAAGCTGTTGCGTTTGACTTTTTCATTGGGAAATTCGAGCATGTGCCAAAAGAAGCTTACATAACGTCAATCAATCAGCCTGTGTGCACGAGCCAATACACATCAGGTAATCAGTGGAGGAGCTATAGAGGCACTGAATAGCGATATATTATAATACTTTGGGTTATAATTAGTTTTTTATATGGGATTTACAGACTGTGTGCGGTTTCGCCATTATCAGAAATCTAGGCTTCATCAATGGGGTTGCGTAATGGGACGCAATTAAGCAGATAATGGGTTTGAGTTTTAAAACCATAAGGACATGTGTTTCTGTCAAGTTTCAAAACAAGATAAATATAACAATAATAATAATAATCAAAATAATAATCATAATAAAGATTTGTTTGTAGCACTTTTCATTGCAGCTCAAATGCAGCTCAAAGTGATGTTACAGTTTGGCCCACAACAAATGAAACAGAATAAAAGATAGCCTATAACAATTAAAACATTACATACAATTACAAAAATCTATCGAAAACCGAAGGGCTTTAATGGTTATAAAAGTTTAGTTGAAAAACAATGACGACAGAGAATCAGTGTTAGGAGGGTGCCAGACTCTTATCAGTGATTAGCCTTAGTAATAAGGCCTCCTCGTGCTGATCAACAGTACCCTGCTGCTTAGAGTGGGTATGAAAACGTGCGGGCTACTAAAGCGGAATAATATTTATTTATGTATTTATGTTTCTAATTTCTTATGTTTATCTATCGCAATAACTTCGCTGTGTTACTAGTTGCACAGTATGGACTCACATTGCACATGAAATCAAATCGAAACGTGTGCCGTGAAAATAAAGAAATTCGCGCCTAAACCTTATTTAAACTCAAGATGTATATGTGTAGCGCTTGAAGGTTTCAAAAACATGAATAGATTATGGCAATTTAGTAAATGTAAAAAACTGCACATTATCCATGTCTTTGTCCGAGAAAGTTCTAGACTTATATCTTCCTAGAGGACATTTACAAGTGTCTCTCTCTCTCTCACACACACACACACACACACACACACACACACACACACACACACACACACACACACACACACACACACACACACACACACACACACACACACACACACACACACACACACACACACACACACACAGTTTCTCAATCGCGAGTACGCTTGCTTGGTAGCACATGTCTGCCGAGCATCTTGCTTCAGAAGCGAGTCAAGAATACTTCCTGGCATTCGGAAAACGAAGTGTGGAACACGCTAGCAAGTGTGCAGGTGTGCGTCATATGAGAGGCCCCCGCCTTACATCTTCCGCCACAGATTTGGGGAAATTGGTCCGTGCGCAAAGCATTGTGGGGATTTTAAGACCGCGGAGTCTACTCATGTGCAGCCTCGATATTTCTCTAAACGGAGTACGCCGGGCTCGGTAGATTTCAAAGTATGCTGGAGATTGGAACAGTACTTCGGCGGCACTCGATGACGTAGTATGCTTGAAATAGTGGCTCTGAAGCAGCTTTACTCGCGATTGAGAAACACCCACAGTTGGCATAGATCAATGTGGTGCAATAAACCTAACCTTTGAAACCTACCCCCCCCACACAATATTGGCACATAATTTATGTTTCATAAAAGGTTTTCTAGGATTTTCCCTGGAGATTTGAACCTACTAATACTTTGAGCACTGCTCTACAATATGTAATCTAGAATTTACGAGTATGTTCCTAGAAGGAACAATAACAAGTTCATGCCCTGATAGGATCAATCAAAGAACCACTGTACCCTGTGATGGGGAAAGGGGTTTATCTTGATAACACTTGCCACATTAGCATCTTGCATCAGTCTTGATTGTTTTTTCTGATGTCTTCAAGTAATGAAAAAGTAGAGGAGGAAGACCCCCAACCCTCTACCCCTGTCTATGCTGGCTTTTAATCTTGCCAAGTACAAACAAGGCTTAAAGTTTTGCCTCATCCCAAAGTCTTCAAATTCTTGAAACGACCCTTTGCTTTACTCAAGCAAAATAAATACAAATTGTTGTTGAGTGATGTGTAGCCAGTCTTTTTAAGAATCAGATAAAGGGAAATCCAAGGAAATTATTTGTACAAAGCCCATTTAGTATAATTCGAATAGCACATTTCCAGAAATAAAAACCTATGTACATTAACATCAGGAACTGTTTAATAAACATTTGTGATGTCTTTTACAAGTAAGGTAAAGCCATATTTACAAAAAAATGTATAAACACAAGTCCGATATACATCCATAGTTTTCCTCCTCAGTGTCTGTCAGTGAAGCACACACAAACAGTGGGTAAGACACAGGTTATCTCACATAGCGCTGACTTCACATCTGTCATTCCCCAGCCCACACATCCTATCCACAGACATTTGCAGCTGAAATCTACTGCAAACAGCAAGTCAAAGCCTTCAAGTGCTGTGAAATGTAGCTTAAAAGCCAAATCAGTGAAACGCAACACAACAATGAAAAATAAATGACACTTTGGGACATAGTTAGCAATGCATTTCACCTGCAATTGTCTTCCCATGTAGGTATTTGAGACTTTCAAATGTATCACATAGAAAAATAGAGCCATGCAGGCTGCATTTGCTGTGTTTTAAACCAGATGTATGAGTAATTTCAACCATCATCACCATCTGCCAGAAAAAAGTAATACACAGTACTTATTCTGTTCTCCAAAAAGGCTGGACTATGCAACAATGATCTGAACCTGCTGCTTACAGCCTGGTGCTGAGACTCAGTTAACATTATTACAACCCAACTTTATCCTATGGCTTTGTTGACACTGAGTCAGTCTTTGGGCATCAGGGTTAAAGTCAGTGCATCTACTTTCTGAAGCGCTTGAACAGTGGATGAATGTTCTTTCCTAAGAAGGATTTGCTGCCTCGACCCTGATATTCCATGTAGACGGTGTCATCTGCACCCGACATGGAGCTCATGGTGCCGGTTCGCCTTGAGAACTGATAAAGAAGCAGGAACAAATAAATAGTGTTAATATTCTACAATGCAATGGTAAGCCTGCAAAGACAATTACGTCACATCTGCTTTCTGAGTCAGAGTTATCCAAAGTGTTCACCTGTGGTCGTCCGCCCAGCTCCCCTGCCACCAACTCCTCCTCAGCATCCAGGTCTGAAGCAGCCAGGACCTTCTGGAGAAGCTGCTGCTGCTCCTCTTTGGAGGAGAACATCAGGTCCTCCTCCTCCATACCTGCTAGCTTTGTGATCACCTATGAAGGAAGAGACACATGAGAACACACCAACGGTATATGTAAAACACTTTTTTCACTGAGGGCCACATACAGAAAAATATACGAAGGTCCGGGCCGCTCACTAGAGGTGAGGTTTATTGCCGTATCAGTTAAGTTATAAGTTAGCAAAATCAATCAAATGTAGGTAAATTATGCTTGATACTTGAAAATGCTTTAAGAAACAAACTGCCTACACCACAGCTCTCCATAGGGTTTCATTTATTTTGTTTGCAGCTCATTCCTTAAAACAGAAGCCTCAGATTGTTCATAAAAAGAGGAAATATGAAGCTATTTATGTAATTAACTTATTGTTTTTTTTGTTATCAACTAAGATTTGTTTGAAAATGTTTCCAACTTTAATTGACTGAATTTATTTGAAAAGTGGGTCTTTTAACGCATGAATACCGTGTAATATATTTGTACAAATATATTTAAGAATTACAATATATAACAAGCACACGTTTCAAAATGGGCCCCGGGGCCGTAGTTTGGACACCCCTGATGTAAGAGAATAAATAATACCAAGGATAAAACTATGTATGTCTTATTAATAAACTTGTTTCCATTTGTCCTGAATAATTTGTCCCAAATGCATTGAAGCTATTTCAGGCATTATGTCATTTGAACTCTTTTCATCCAAATAAAGTGTCATAGCTTCATATGCAAATATGAATCTACATATCATATTCCATTTACTTGTATATAGACTCTTCTTGCACTATTTCTATTTTATTTGTATTAACTTGCACATCTCAAAACATTCTCTTGCACTATTTTATCTGTTTTATTTGTTTTATGTCCTATATATATATATATTCATGTTGCGCTGTTGGAGGAGCCTGTGACCTATGTTTTTCATTGCCATATCTACACTGTAGCTAATGTGCACATGACAATAAAGCCTTGAATCTTGAATCTAACTATCTCTGTGAGCGGAGGCTTTTTCTCAAACTAGTTTATTTTCTGGTTCATTCTTTGTTTTAACCCTCTAAATAAAACTCCTATATTAACTACCATATACCCAACACATTTTGTTAACCTTGTTCCACTGAGAGAGCAAACTTGGCCCATTAGAGAAATGTACAATCGTGTGTTTTACAGGTTAAAATGTGTTGTTCAAAAGGGGAAACACAAACATGTAAACACACCTTAAAGCTGTAACCTTGGTCCACCAGGAACCTCTGCCTCTTGGTGGAGTAAGCCATCTCCTGGGTGTCCTGGGACACTAGTGAGTAGAAGTATGCATTGTACTCCTCTGCTACCATTCCTACACCAGCAGACAGGGGGAGAGAGAATGTTTAGGTGATGAATGGAGGATGCATCAGAGTGTGTCATGCAAAGGCAACCAATCCAAGTGATGCAGACAGACTGACCTTTCTTAGCTCGTAAGACTCTGCCCAGCCTCTGAGCCTCCTGTCTGCGGGATCCACCATGGGAGGAGATCTGGATCAGAACATTGGCTTCGGGCAAGTCAAAGGAAGTGTCTCCAACCTGAGTGGTAGAAGGAATGCAGTATATTTCAAGTTATGTAGTTTTACCATTCTATCAATATCAGAGGTGGGAAGTAGTAGAGTACGAATAATTTGTTACTGTACTTAAAGGGGACCTATCATGCAAAATGCACTTTTGTACATCTTTTATACATGAATACGTGTCCCCGGTGTGTCAGGGAACTCACCAAGGAACTTACTTTTGCCATCTCTGATCAATATGCAAACATGCAACTGTGGTTCTGTTAAAAAGGTAAACATGTTTCTGATTTTATATCATTGGTTTTCAATAGAGGGAATTTCTTAAGAATAATGTGTGATATCGGCAAGATTAAAAAAGGTGTGAGGTGTCATTACTGGAATAATGTTTTTGTCCGATTAAATGTTTTGGGTCAATTAAAACACACTGAGGGCAGCAGTAGTACTGTAAATTCTCTAGAAGTGCTAGTCTGCCCCCTGCTGGTCACACGGGTGCACATGGATTGGTACCTTCGAGATGAATATGGTGTTTATCTTGGGGTTGTGTTTGAAGTTCTGTAAAATCTGCATTCGTTCCCCCTGAGAGGTTGGACCGTAGATGTAGGGCCTTGAGAGAAAATGAGAAAGTGGAGTTCAAACATGAAGAAAGGTTACCCAAACAGGCTATTTTCTCAAAATGCTTCTCAGTTTGTGAATAACCTACTTGTTGAGGCGGATAGCGTACTCCTTCAAGGCAAACACGTTGTCAGCAAAGACCATGATCTTATCGTTTCGCCGCTCATGGAATTGAATGAGAAACTGGCAAGCGCGGAACTTATTGGGGTTCATCGTATAAAACAGGATGCGCTTCTTTGTCTTGATGGCCACATACTCTCTGTAGAACTCTGGAGACATTGGGCACCACACCTAAAGCACAACCATGGGTACATTGTTCAGATAGTGTCACTAATGTGGAACATGCTCTTTGTATTTGTTACATTAAATCTCAGCTACATCTTTGAGCTTAATATTCTGAATTCTACAAGAAACTGTCTATAACTTTCCTCGAGGCAGACGGTTATCTTAGGATAAAAAAAACACAATAGTAATGGTGTGTTGGTAGAAAAATACAAAAGCAGCTTTTACCATAACTTCAAAATACAGCAAGTTTAAAACTGGACATAGGTAAACGACTGTCACTTGGTTTTATCCTGGACTGGCTAGTCATTACAACACACCACATCAATTGTGTTATATTGAATGATCTTCCCTTGTTACATATATGTTTTCCAATCGACAGCCCTTGACAACTAGGTTTAGGCTTCACATTATCAAAACAAACCAGAAACAGAAGTTCCATATTTTATCCAGTTTTTAGTGAACGACATATTCTTAATTTCTTGTCATGGTATAAAACCTTGTCAAAATAATGCAAGACTCACCTCTGCACACTGGACTTTGGCAATGTAGCCATTGTTCTGTAACTCCATCCAGTTGGCCTCAAACAGTTTAGGCCCAATAAGGAAGTTCAGATCCACAATCTTGTCGTCTTCCCTGACCAGTGTGGCAGTGAGCCCCATTTTGCAATGTGCCTGGACGATGGTTAGAACACGACGGAACATCCTGGCTACAGAGGAAACACAGAATAACAATGTTAACATGTCAATAAATCTCACAGAGATATACGTGTTCTTCATGTGTCTATATCCCATTGCATCCCAAAACTATATAACCAGCACGGTCCCTAGTAGACCCCCACACACACACACACACACAACAACACAGACTATGACACCTCTTGTTGTTAAATACCAACTATGTGCAATATGTGCAATATGCGCAATATATATATATATATATATATGCCGTTAAAAACTGTGCAGTATATACCTGGCTGCTAAATCCTCAGAACTGTTACAGGGTAGGAATGTTTGTAAAATGTGTAACTTCTTTATTATAATTTCTTTTTTTTTTTATCTTTTGTATTTTTTTTTTATGCATGCTTAGGTAACATTAAGCTGTCTTTGGCTCTTTTCTGCTGTAACAATGTAAATGTCCCCTCTGTGGGACTAATAAAGGTATTCTGATTCTGAAAACATAACTTCAATATATTCTTACAATAAAAGCAAATATCAAGTTGTCTGGAGAACTTTAACAAAGTTACAGCTTACCAGGGATGGTGTGCACCTCATCGAGGATAATGAGTCCCCACTCCTGGCTCCGCATCCACTCCATGACCCTCTCCGCCTCCCAGGAGCGCTTGGTGGTGTGACCCAGCATGGAGTAGGTGCTGATGGCCACTGAGCAGCCAATGGGTTTGTCCTTGGCGTCGGAAGTGAAGCGGCAGATCTGAGAGTCATCGATGGTGGACCACATCTTGAACTGAGCTTTCCACTGTTCCACTGACACGGAGGAGTTCCCCAACACCAGGCAGCGTTTACGCACCGTGCACGCTGCGGTCACGCCCACCAGAGATTTACCCGCTCCTGGAAATAAAACATTGAGGCCTACATTTTACAAACAGGTTTCATGTAACAAAAAAATATAATAGTAAGTTGTGCTTGAGGAAGTACTCTAACATTTAGGGAATTCTACTAAGTACAAGAGTATATCCCTTTTTTCAAGCAAATATTTGAAAAAGATCTTGTACAATATAATTTCATACACAAGCTCTACCACCAGGAAATGCTTTGGGGGTCTCCTTTCTGTTTTGTAACTCAATGTTCCCTTCTCCTCCTGTGAACCAGCTGTCTCACCGCAGGGCAGCACGATGACCCCAGAGCGAGCCCGTCCATTCCCAAACATCTTGCGCAGACTCTTCTCCTGGTAGGGCCTCAACACAGCGGTGGGCTTCAGGTCTATGTTGATGTCGGGGTTGAATGTATCATTGCGAAAGTCGTACTCTGCTAGGAGGGGGTACTCTAGCTGAATGCAACGCTTCTGCAGCTCTTCAATCATCTCCTACACAGGATCACAGTAGAACAGTTCAGAGAAGTGCATTCAAATAGGATTACGCATTCATTTTTTGGAAATAAGGCAACCAATAAATGGCAGCAGTAATGTAAGTTTGTAAAAAAGGAAAAATCTGATTTGTACCTGGCGAAGCTCAAAAGACACAGTCTGAGTCTCTTCCTCCTCTTCTTCTTCTTTATCCATTTGCTCATAGTAGCTAAAGATGTCTTCAGGCACCTGCTGGGTAGAAGTTTGTCCGTCGCTGGGTTGCTGTGAGGTCGACGGATCCCCCTTTTCCTCAATAGACTTGGAAATCTGTCAGAAATAAAGACATAGAGGGGCAATGGTTAGCGAATGAAGAGGACAACAAGTCCAATTCCTGCTACATATATATTCTTATATCTTTAAAACATGACTTCTTACAGCTTTTCAATTAGATTCAAGGTTTACTTGAAATAAAAAAATAGAACTTTCTACTTTTGTGTGCAAGTAAAAAAAAGTTGCATTGCATACTGCTGACTTGCTGCGAATAACTTCAGTTATAAGCTCGGTGTCCGCTCCGTCTGCAGTGCGGAGACGACATTCACGGATCACAGTGTCCTGCAGAAGGCGCTGGATCACATCAGGGAAGGCACTCTCAACAAAATACCTGAATAAAAAGGCAGCACATTTTTAAGAAAGCCCAAAGGGGAGGATTAATGTAAAGACAGAAGGAATGGTTGTTGAAATGACTTTACCTGTTGTGCTTGAGTACCAGCTTCACTTTTCCATAGCTCACAGTGCAGAGCTGAAGAGAGAGAAAAAACAATAATTAAATACCCAAAGTTTGCATACATGACACTAAATATGATACATTTGGAAAGTGTAATCTTCCTTGAAATCAGCAGACGCTCAATTCAGACCTTAATGAACTGAATGATGCCTTCAGGTACAGAGGTCTTGCTGAGTTTCTGCATGTACTCCACAATATCAGAGGTCTGCAGCCCCACACTGACCGCTGCATACAGGGAATAGGCCGTCAGCTTGTACTCATGGATATGATTAGGCCTGCAGACTGGCTCTGCAATTGCCACCATGAAATCCTGTGCGTACTTGTACACTGGTGAGAAGGCTTCAAGAAAGATGTGTCCATCTGGAGCCTGGAGAAGAGGAGGAAGATTAAAAATATATATTATAAAGGAATGCAGAGAGATATCTTCTGAAATACAGTGTACAATTTGAAACCTTTAATAAGTAAACTCAACAATCGAAACACATCTTACCACCCAGAGGGGGCGCGAAGTGTTATCATTCTTCAGCATCATCTGAATACGGTAATCTTTGGCTCCATATTCATCAAGTTTTGTACTGGACACATCCACTTGTTTCCCTGCAGCAGCAGGAATGGCCTCCTGAGACTCACTGCCCCCCTGCCTCTTCTTCATCTTCTTCCTCCTCATAGACACGCTTTTTGGACTTCTTGTCTGTCAGAATGAGTTAAAAAACATTATAGAAAGTAATAGAGGTAGATAATTAACTGAAATCAATAATACATCAGTGTAAATTGAATTGTATTGTTTTAAAATAATCAGGATATGTATAGAGTTACAGCAAAAGTAGAGCCAAAACAGCAACATATTAATTAAGAGGCATTCATAGAAGAAACTATACTACAATTTACAAAAATATACATCCAGGTCGACAACAAAAAGTACCAGTAACTGACACTGTATTTTTTTTATGTAGCCTGTATAAAGGAGTTTGATAGCAGCCAGGTTACAGTAGTAAAAGTGTAAGTGTATATTGCACAGTCATTTACAGGTGTATTATAGTAGTTGAATTGTCCAACAAAGAGATAGCAGCTAGTAATATTTATAATTATAAAGCGGTATATGTATATATTGTATACAAGTGATATTGCACAACAGTTACTACTGTACCATTAACCTTACATCTTTTCACTACAATAACCCCCCCTTAACAACACACGGGATAATTTAAAGGAGGTGTATAATGTCTTCAAATACAAACTACATGTTATATGTGTCGGTTTCAGTACACTTATCCATCTTTCAGCTTGTGAGCTAACAGCTATAGTTAGCTAGGTTAAACTGCAGCATTAGCAACTCACCCCGATCTCCTTTATCCTTTCTACCCATTTTTTTAATTTTCGAATAGGTGGTTTCTATCAAAACATTGTAAGTTTATCCTCATAATCTTTCTGAAGTCCTCCGGGAAGTCCAGTGACTGTAGTCTGACCACGGTGTATACTACGGTGTTGAGTACACTCAATAATGTAGATACATAACTTCCGGTTTGAGACTTCAAAATAAAACCTTCATTTGAAAAGCATGTGCGTGATTTGTTTAAATTAACTTAATTGGTGTAATTAATGCACACCAAACGTCTAAATTACTCCTAAAAATGAACAAGCAGCAGTTTTAGGAATATATATAATACATTTAAAAATAGCCAAGTAATTTATTGTGCTTTTATTGTTGCATCACATAAACGTACTTCTTGTTATTTATGTAATTTGACACCATCAGACACTGTTTACTTCCTGTGTGAAAGGTCAAACTGGCCTTTTGAGGAGCCTTTGGTTCATAAAGAAGCCTATTTGTATGTTGTTGTTTTTCTTTTAGAAACTACTAAATATACGTGTAAGTCATCATCGTCAAATATGTCGTCTGATGAACTAATTGGACCTGCTTTGCCCCCGATGTTCAGAAACAGGGAGAGCGATGAGGACTCTGATAGTGATGAAGGATGTGAGTGTATATGGGATAAAACACCTTGATTGCGATTTTAAGTCACTAATATTCATACTAGGTTGTTTTTCCCATGGTTGTTAATTCTCTTTTCTTTAGTCTCCGGCCCGGCTCTGCCTCCGGGCTACAAACGGGGAGAGCCGTCGAGCTCCTCGGAGGACAGTGAAGAGGAGGTGACGTTCAAGAGAGCCAAAACAAGTCACACAGCTGCACAAAGCTCTGCAGAAAAGTACGTTAATTAATGGACTAGGAGTTATAGAAATATATGCATTTATACAAATAAAAAACAATAACATGTGTGTGTTGAACAGGGTGGAGGACACAAAGGTACAAGAACCAGACGAGGATGGTTTCTTTGGACCGGCCCTACCTCCAGGATTCATGAAACAACAGAGTTCACCAGAAAGGTAGGCACAATGATTTGATCATGTAGATAAATATGGATAAAATGTGAATTCTTGAAGGCGTAACTTCATTGTGCTCCCCAGGCCACCTGTGCTGGGACCAGCTTTACCTCCTGGGTTTCGTAGAGCAGCATATGAAGACGATGATGACGATAATAAAGAAGAGGAGGATTTCCCAGGGCCTGCCCTACCCCCTGGTTACCAGGCCGACTCCTCCAGCAGTGAGGCAGAAGATGATGTGATTGGACCCATGCCACACAAAGGGCCTGTTGAAGACTCTACTGCTCTGGACTTTGAGCGCAGAGCTCGAAAGATGAAAGATAAGCTGACAGGAGATGTGAGTCCTCCCCTGAGTTTTATCTGTGTAGTCTACACCCCCAAACAGAGGTGGGAAGTAGTGGAGTACAAATACTTTGTTACTGTACTTAAGTACATTTTTCTGGTATCAGTACTTTACTCCACTACTTGTTTTTCTGATGACTTTTTACTTTTACTTCTTACATTTTTAACACAAATACCTGTACTTTCTACTTCGTACATTTTCAAAACAGGCTCGTTACTTTAGTTTTGATCTGTGTTTTGTGGCGTGATCATTATTATTTAGAGTCATTGCGTGCCTATTGATTTTAACACGATCCGTGTATCCATCATTTCCTGGTCTTCTCTAAAGAAGATCGACCAATGAGAACTTTGTCATTTTGACGTTGTTCAGTATTGAAACATTCATTAGCTAACAATGACATTATTGTTCTATTAATATAAAGGGAGGTCAGTTACTCTTTAAAACAGATGGTAGGTATGGATACTTTTTACTTAAGTACATTTCGAAGCCCATACTTCTTTACTTTTACTTGAGTAAAGAAGTTTATTTTTAAACACGAGTATCTGTACTTCTACTTGAGTAAAGGATGTGTGTACTTTTGCAATCTCTGCCCCAAAAACTCTCTCAGTTATATGCTTACAGATTGAAAAATAGAAATGCATAGAAACACAATATCTTAGCAAAATATCTGGTTGGAAGGATTTCCACTCCTTTTTATGAATTGCCCAAAAAGTTTTCCTCATCTGCTCTCTTAATTTATTCCTGTGTGTATTTCTGTCTAAAAAAGGACACTCCTGAGGTGGTGGCCAGAGAAACATGGATGACAGTGCTCCCACCAGAACTGCAGCACATTGGTTTGGGAGCTCGAACCTTCAAGAAGAAGTCGGGCCCAGAGAACAAGGATCGCTCCATGTGGACAGATACACCAGAAGACAGGGAGCGCAAGATCAGGGTATTTAATCAAAATAACTTATCTTCATATTTATTATTGGTAATTCCATCTTGTATCTTATATTTGACTTCCCTATATTTCCTGGTTCTATTCTTGATTATTAGGAACGCATTGAAAGAAAGAACAAGGGTGAGGAAGAGAAGGTTGTTACCCCACAAATCTGCTTCAAGGATGTTAAAATGGCAGAAAAAGTGACAAAATATAACGTAAGTGGTATTACCTCACCATTCTTTTGTCTTGTGTGTCCCCAAAAAATAACATGAGATGTAATGTACACTTGTTTACATGAAACTGAGGATTAAACTGTCTTTACCCTCAACCTGTTATCAGGAGACTCAACGTGCAGAGTCTCTGGTGAGTATGCACACAAAGACGATGAAGGAAAAAGCAAAGAAGAAGGTTGACGTTCCGGTGGAGAGGAGAGCATTTGATCGAGATGAAGACCTGCAGGTGAATCGTTTTGATGAAGCGCAGAAAGAGCGGCTGCTGAAGAAATCTCAGGAACTGAACACACGATTTTCTCACAGCAGGGACCGCATGTTCCTTTAACACAATTTGAGAAATATATTTGAACAAACAGACCTCTGTGTACAATCTGGCCTGTGCCATTTTCATACAGGTTTTATACAATATCAACTATGTTTGTACTGTGTAACACAAATGGAGACATTTTTTGGCCAAACATATTTTTAAGATATGGTAGACATGTCCATTGAAAGTAGTTCAGAGCTTGTTTTTTTCCAGGAGACACTGTGTTGGGGCCTATCATTTAGAAGTAAATACTTAAATAACTGCATATTTTTCATACATTGATATATAAACAGTGATTGGTTTTGTGTTGGATATACTTTCCAGCTTTGCGATCTTTCATGTGTCCAACTGCTTTTGTGAAAAATAATATTAAACTTTTTTTTTAAAAATCATTTTATTTCTCTTATTTTCATCCATGTAAGATTATTAATGCCCGAGGAGTAAAGCGCACACATTGGTCAAAAGTATGTTCGCACCGATATGAACCTTCAGAGTCGCCGTACTTTCGGTTTCTGTTACGCATGCGTGTGGCTGTAGCATTGCTAAGGTAGCAGCATTTGTTTTTAAACATGTCGGAGAAAGCAGGAGAAGTGGATTTAACTGGTGCCAAGCAGAACACTGGTGTGTGGCTTGTAAAGGTGCGTATTTATTGTTTTTAAACGATAGCTCATTGCGTTATAGGATACCTTTTAGACTCAAACGCAGCTAGGGCTAACAATAAGTAATGTAGCTTAGCCTCTTAAGCTACGATCGAATGTAACGGTGTGTTGTAGCTAATAATTAATTCACTTAATGATAGCTTTCTATGTAAAACTGCTCATATCCACTCATCACAATATTATGTGTATTCCCAACATGCAATAATGTATTGAGTTGACCAGAGACCATCGTTTGGCAATACAACCGGTGTAAACAAAAAGTAATAACAGATAAAAACGTCTCATTAGGCAGCTAGGTTTAGGAAAACATGCATGGAGAGAATTTACTGTTTTTTTTCAAATATTTTAAATATTTGTCCTAATGCTGATACTGTAATATAGATACATTGTTTCAAAGTTAACGACAATGTGAATAAGTGATGCACACACGGTACCAACACTCAGCTTGGTTTGGTATTCCTTCATTACAATGAAAAAGAGAACACTTTTGTATTTGTGGAATTAACTAAAGGGCCCATCGCCCAGCTGTGAAAGCAGCCCTAATAAAATATACTGTGTTTTTTCATGCAGGTGCCCAAGTACCTCTCTGTGCAATGGGCAAAAGCGACCGGCAGAGGAGATGTCGGGAAACTGCGAATCTGCAAGTATGTAAAGAGGTGTATGTGTCTGAGTTTCAATCATGTGATGTTAGTGCACAACATGTCAATAACTTACGTTTTAAACCTAAATTAAAACTGAGTGTGAACTGATAAACGGTGTCGTTAGTGTAGTGAACGAGACAGTTTTATACAGTGTTTTTGTTATTCTTTCTAATGCAGTGGAAACTGTTATTTTTGCAAATCAATTCATTCTTATTTTGCTATCTTTTTTTTTCTTAAAGGAAAGGAAATCAAGGAAAACCAGAGGTAAGTGATGTCTGAAAGAAGTGCAATGTGTTTTGGTGATGACAGCTTTAGAGCAATATGTATGACACATGTTTATCCAGATTGAGGGCTACTTGGGTGGGTCACAGGCAGCAGAAACACAGATGTAACATAAGTAGCTGGTTATTAGGGTTGAGAATAAAATGAGACCATGTAGTATGTGTGCTTGTCCTGTTAAACTGCTGATCTGGACGCAGGGAAATGGCAGTAACATCATCAGGAGGAAAGATAAAAGGGCTGAGAGAAGTACATGTGGATGATGAAACTGCTGTCCACAACAGGTGTCCTTTACTTTAAATGAAGAGCTGACTGTGATTGACGGTTTAGAGGATAAGACGGTGTCTGCACCTCGCGATCATCCGTTCACCATGCAGTCAGTGGGGGGGCAGACGCTGGCGGTCTTCACAGAGAATTCTTCAGGTGAGTTTCTGTTTTCCTTTTTCCAGCCGAGCTAAAGGATGCCAAGTGTTTGCTTTGAGTGCATCTGCTGCAAGATGATACCCCTGTCAAATCGGCACGTTTAATTTTCTGTGATTTATGGTGATTGTTTGTAACCCCACAGGTAAGTTCTGTGTGATCAGGTGGTGGCGCACATCCTGCTAACCTTTTCCACAGCTTGCTGTCTTGTTGCACAGTTTTTCTCTTGCCTGCCATGCTTGTGTCTGTGCTGTGAACTCTCACCAGGTTTTTCCCAGAGTGTTAACCAAAGTCCTACAAAAAACACTCAATGAAAAACAAAAGAGCTGGTCTGTTGGAAGTGTGTTTTCATCCAGTCTTATCTGTGTTTGTGTCTCTGTGTATACAGGAATTTTAGTTTCAGTTGTTGATCTTCTGTCTTCATTTGTTTGTGGTTAGACCTTTTCAGTCCACTGCCAATCACCTCAGCCGATTTGGGTATTTTATCCGGCACAATGGCCCCATTTGGAATTAATTTAACATAGTGTAGATCAACATTAACACAAATCATTGCTGAATTTGGAGTTGATTTATTTTGTGCATGGGTTTGTTTGGTTTGAACCAGCCTTGTCTTGCCTCTCCCTGAATGTAATATAAGTGTTTTGTTGCTTTGGGTGCTGGTGAGCTTGTGCTACTGTGCTTTCTTTGGGATAGCATCAGTGTGTGAGTGTGTTTGTATTTTAGGGCTGCACAGTTGAAATTGTTTATAGGTTCTTTAGTACAACTTGATTTGGAACTTTTTTTCAAGATACACCTGTCTAATAAGGCAGCTGCTAAAAGTTGGACAACATATGTCATCGAATTAAATTCAGTAGATTAACATTAAAGACAAAAGGAAAGAGACAATCACTGCTGCGTTGAAAAATAATGCAGTAAAGTGCTAACTATTGCCTTATGGGGAGTGCTTTGGCAACTTAGTCACATTTTAGTTTGAAAGTATTCAGTTTTCAAAGTAAAGGTTAAGTATTTGTGCAGCTCTGTCATGTGTGTGAAGCACAGCATATCTGTGCTAGCTTTTTGTGAGAGCATGCTTGCCTTGCTGATGCGCACGCCTGTGAACTCATCAGATTAGGGCGAGAAGCTCCGTGTGATCTTGTGTGCGACTTAACGCTGGGTGTGGTTCTTGTTGTTCGATCCCCTCCTTCCTTCGTCTCCCATCCCCTGTATTATCATGTTTACCATCCTCCCTCCCTTCCTGTAGGCCAGTCAGAAGAAAGATCTGATGGCAGCAGCTCAGTTTCGGGGGCGGGGGCAGGTCCAGGTGAGTCCTCCGTTTCGCCAGCGAGTGACATGGTTGCACCACTGGGAATCAGACACACTGAGTGCCCATATACATGCTTTGGAAGACGCATGTATCGGTGCCAAGACTGTGAACACATTGTCCTCATTTAGAGGCCAGTTTTGCCCCGAAGCAACACACAGGCCTCTTTTTAATTTTGGGCACAAATGTGAAATGCATATCATATGAAGCTCACGCACTTTATATGCACTGTTTCTACTGGAGGATCATTGGAAAAGAGAGTCTGTGGCAATTGAGAAGAGTGTTACTTGCTTGTGGTGTTGGTTTCAAAGCCAGTCTCGTCGTGCCATTGTTTTGGCAAAGAGAAATCACATCTGAGTCTTTCTAAATCTTAGTTCAGATCTACTGTAGGTACTTAAACAATCAGTTAGTTGGATACTGATACTGATTGAATACTTTCATAGCAAAGGACGGTGTCATTTGACATAAATCTTTCCTCTGGCTCAGACATTCAGTAAGTAAGCCACGATGCGGATGACTTTTGTAGATAACTTCAAGGACTTGGAAGGCACAGCCTGACCTCAATACTGAGCCAGGAGCCAGCCCATGTGACTGGTGTGGAAATAGCCTTGGAAAAAGTGGGAAACTAAGTGATTGTATTCATTTTACTTTCTTGTATAGACAAAATTACACTGAATTGGGAAAATCTTTGGTTGAGTAAAGAGAGCCGTTGACAATACAATACAATGCTTTGATTTGATGTAAAGCGTCTTTGAGCATAAGGAATAGCGCTATATAAATCCCATGTAGTATTATCATTATTATTATTATTGTGGGATGAATAATAGTAATAGCAGAGAAACAGTTTATGTGTGTCCGAGGATGTTTTGTTGTAGTCACTTTTGAAAAGTCAAGATTACTTTTCATTACTGCAACTTATTCTTTGAACTTAAGGAGAAACCCATTACCCATTCACTGTCTGTGTTCATCACTTTTCTCTTACACACATGGAACTGATCACCCTTCCTTACTTATTAAGTACATTATGCACACAAAAATGCACGTTTTTATTGAGGTGTTAATGAACTGTCCTTTTTTTCAGATAAAATAGCCTTGGAGGGAGTGGTGGTGCAGAGAGCAGAGTGTAGAACTGCTGTGAGTGAAAACTATATGAAGCTGAAGAGGTGAGCTTTTGAGAAATGATGTCTACACACGTTGTTAATTAGTTAGCTAACAACTTGAACCTGGATTTCAATTGGAATGTTAGACACAAATATTTAGATTTGTATTTTATGTCTACATTATCGAGAAATCTGAAAGGGGACCTATCATGCAAAATGCACTTTTTTTATGTCTTTTATACATAAATATGTGTCCCCGGTGTGTCAGGGAACTCACGCAGCGTCAGAAAATAAAACCTGCTCTCTTTTCATCCGTACCCAAATCTCTAAAAACGGGGGTACAACGGAGCTGATCCAGATTTGCGTCCGATATGACGTCGGCAATGCAGACCCACAGCACTATCAGAAACGTTGCTATTAGAAACAATGCCCGACTGTTTTGGACGTAATATGGTCCGTAATAAAACCCTGTATGATTACAAAATAAACACTAGAACCAATGTATTATTTATAAAATAAAATAAATGTTTAAAAGATGCTGAAGATCACATAAGTTAGTAGGAATTGCAGTTAGTTACATTGAACTACATCGACTTGGTGTTTGTAATTTTTCCAGGTGAATAAGTGTGGATGGTATGTCATGCAGTGATCATCATGGTTTTTAACAGGTTACAACTTGAAGAGTTGGCCAAGCCAGTCAGGCTGTCCCAGCAGTTGGAGAAAGCAGTCACCAGCAACTACAAACCTGTGGCCAACCATACCTACAATGTAAGACTGATTATTAAACTACTCAATTTGTTTTGGCATGTTCCATAAAATGTATAGCGTGCAATATGAACTATCCACTATATCTTTAAAAGCACATTCTGCAAAGCATATTGTTTGGTAATGACCTTAGGGATGATCTGCCTATGTCAAGCTAAGCTCCCTTCAACATTTTTTGTCTATAGAGTATAGTAATTAATAGACTTTACACATAGGAATGCATTTTATTTCCTTAAGTAATTAAATGTGTCCTGTTTATAGTAGTCATGACATGCAAATGCAGTGATATGGTTTCTGACCTCTGTCTGTTTAACCTTTCGTTACAGCTTGAGTATGACCGGAAAAAGAAGGAAGAGGGCAAGAGGGCCAGACTGGACAAACAGCAGGTGTTGGACATGTTGTTTTCTGCTTTTGAAAAGCATCAGTTCTACAACATCAAAGACCTGGTGGATATCACCAAACAGCCTGTGGTAAGACTGGAGGGCAACATGGGGGCTTCTTTTTCAGCACGCTGTTTGAATGATTTTCAGTGCTTTTAAATCACGAAGAAGCACATCTGGTTCATTAGATGTGTTATTCCATGGGTTGTTTATCAGCCATGATCTGAATCAATATTTCTCCATAGCCGAGTACTCTTAATATGCTAATGGTGCTGTTTTACCACAGTCCACCATAGAGTTGGATAATAGAATGATACACTTGTTTGAAATGGTTGCTTACTGTTTTGAAATTGCTGATTATCGACTTGCTATCTCCTTTTTTTTTTAATAATGCTTTATTCACATTGAATTAGAGCATTGTATTAATCTTTTCTCATACTTGGTCTGTTTCCTCTCCCAGACTTACTTGAAGGAAATCTTGCGTGACATTGGCGTTTACAACGTGAAGGGAACACACAAGAATACCTGGGAGCTCAAACCAGAATACCGACATTATCAAGACGATGAAAAGACTGACGAATAGTTTCTGACCCTCCCAAGGCCGATGCACCACGGTTTTATTTCCCAGACGAGGCCTTGGCTGGACCTTGGTGTTCTCTCCTAATTTTTCTCCCATCAAGTCTCAGAACACACTGGATGCTGTGATCCTGCAAAGTTAATGTTTTACAGGAAGAGGTTGTATCTTGGTATTATATAGGAGACTAGAAGGGGCATTTGGATGTTTGAGCGTCTCTTCCTGATGTAGTTTGTGTCACAGCTCCAGCACACCCTTGAGGTAATGGCCTCTGATATTTTATGAAGCAAGAAATGAATTTAACTGGTTAGCAAGTTTACAATGTTACAAAACTATTTAAAGGTAAGAGGTTTATAAGAAAAGGATGTGACTGATTCTTTTTCTAGACATTTTGAGTTAAATATTTTTAAAAGATTGCTGTTATTCTACATTTGTGCTTGAGGTCTTTGCCTGTCTTATCTGTAATTTTAAAGTTTTACATTTGACAAATAAAATAAATGTGTTTTAATAGAAAATCTTACTTTGTACAAGAAGTTCATCAAGCATACCACCTTGCCCAAGAACACCTCTACAGCAACTAAATAGTGGAACAACCATAAAACACTTTAGTCAAATCGTCTGGAGGAAACCAATGTGACATTTACTGCAACTCGTGGCTACACATGTAATCAAATGTTATAGATCATAACCAAGGCAACATCATTTGTACTACATTCAAATCTGACAGTTATGATGGCTTCAAGTGTAATCAAAAGGCTTAAAATACCCCTATTATAGGTCTCATATATACAAACATGTCTCTGAAGTGTTTGGCTCAAAATACCAAACAGATCATACATTGTAGCATCCCATAATCCGCCCTGTTTCAAAAGTGCTGAGTCTGTCTTCTACTTTAGTCAAGGCAAGTTTATTTATATAGCACCTTTCAACACAAGGCAATTCAAAGTGCTTTACAAAAAGGCATTTAAAAACAAAGATAATAAAATATACATGGATAAAAGTTACAGTGTAGTTTTAGATGTGAATAGTTCAATTAAAAGCAGCGGCAAAAATAAACGTCTTCAGCCTGGATTTAAAAGTAGTAAGAGTTGCAGCGGACCTGCAGGTTTCTGGGAGTTCGTTCCAGATATTTGGAGCATAATAACTGAAAGCTGCTTCTCCAGGTTTAGTTCTGACTCTGGGGACAGAAAGCTGACCAGTCCTAGAAGACCTGAGAGATCTGGATAGCAGTAGGTCAGAAATGTATTTTGGGCCTAAACCATTCAAAGCTTTATAAACCAGCAGCAATATATTTTAAATAAATTCTTTAACACACAGGAAGCCAGTGTATAGACTTCAGAACTGGAGTGATGTGATCCACTTTCTTAGTGAGGACTCGAGCAGCAGCGTTCTGAATGAGCTGAAACATTTTAATATTTATTAGTCAGACCTGCAAAGACATTATAGTCGAGTCTACTGAAGATAAAAGCACGGACAGGTTTTTCCAAATCCTGCTGTATCAGTCTTTTAATCCTAGATATATTCTTAAAGTGATAGGCTGATTTAGTAACTGTTTTAATGTGACTGTTGAAACTCAGGTCAGAGTCCATGACTACACTACTTTAGATGAAAATAAGGTGCCACTCCCCTCTGCGAGATATTTGGTTATAAAAGAACACAATTGTGTGCTAGGAGGTGGAGGGGGGGTTACTTTGGTTGGTTAATGGTTACACAAGCCAAAAACATCATGACAAAGTGGCCAAAATCTGATCAGCTCATTTTCAGACTGGTTTTTATATCAGGACAAGTGAGCGAATCTCTTTACACACGTTTATGTATAAAAGATGTGAAAATTGATTTTGCATAATAGGTGACCTTTAAGAGTTAAAAGTTCTTTCATATCTGAATATTTCCTGAGACTTTTTGGTTTCCTTCCACACCAATATTGCATTATTTATATTGATAAACATTGTGCAACAAGTTAAAACAAAAAATGCTTCAGGAGATGTAGTCGAATAGTTTTATTTTCAGGATTCCGTTTTACATTTCATGTACAGCGGATGCATTCTGCCTGGATGTACCATGTGCATGTCAAATGTTGCCAGTCAGATGCAGCAAACTAAAATGAAAAAAGTCTATTTATAAAAATAAAAAGCACATTTGTTTTCCATCAGGAAAATGAGCCATCTCCTTCGCAGTGCCGCTTGTCACCTGAAAGAGAATGAAACATTAAGAAAAACCCCAGCAAACAAAAGTCAAGTCATCATGCAACAAGTAGTTGTGCCTCCAGATGTCATTAGAGAAAATTCATGGCAAAATGCCTGCTACATACAAATTGTATTAACAGTGCAAACTATACACATACTACAAATCAATACATGTTGACCAGATTTTTTCTGACACAGGAGTGGGACATTTATGGAATAAGCACGAGTGTTAGGAAATGGACTTCAGTGGTCATATGTTACACATTTACTAGTGAATCTGACTTTCCTCAAAAAGTTCAAATGTATTCCTCAGTTTATTCTGTGCTGCTATTGTATTTAGCAGTCAAAAAGCACAAGGAACGCTCAATTTAGCACCTCTATGCAAACCTTGAAGCCAAAGAAGCATGCTTCAGGTCTATCAGTAGATGCAAATTAAAGTCTACCGTAACTGTAAGACAATATTACACCTGCTCACCTGTCGGCCAAAGACTGCTCAACAGTGAACATCACAGCTGGGACATCTTCTCTCAAGTTTCATCTCCCAACGCTTAAACCAGGAGACTGTCAAAGGGAGAAAAAACATTAACTTGAGGCTTCAAACAGAATAAGTCATTAGTATAGTAACCATTAGAATAAATGATTGACCATATCCATAACTACAAATCAATACATGTTGACCGGACTTTTTCAGAGACAGGACTGGGACATTTATGGAGTAAGCACATCAAATGTGCAGGAGTGTTAGGAAATGGACTTCAGTTGTCACATGTTACACATTTACTAGTGAATTTGACTTTCCTCAAAAAGCTAAAATGTATTCCTCGTTTATTCTGTGCTGCTATTGTATTTAGCAGTCAAAAAGCACAAGGAACACTCAATTTAGCACCTCTATGCAAACCTTGAAGCCAAAGAAGCATGCTTCAGGTCTATCAGTAGATGCAAATTAAAGTCTACCTTAACTGTAAGACAATATTGCACCTGCTCACCTGCAAAGTATTGTGTCGGACAAAGACTGCCAACAGTGAACATCACAGCTGGGACATCTTCTCTCAAGTTTCATCTCCCAACGCTTAACCCAGGAGACTGTCAAAGGGAGAAAAAAAAACATTAACTTGAGGCTTCAAACAGAATAAGTCATTAGTATAGGAACCAATAGATTAATTGACCATATCAACAAGTTTTTAACATTTGATTTATCCTCCCCGATTCAATCCGAGACGCCATGGAAAGAGGCGAGCAGAAAGCGCAGGGACATTTAATTTTGCATCTGAAATTTTAAAACCCAGGGTATCTCACAACAGAGAGCCCAGGCTGTCAAAGATGCGGCTTGTGACGAAGCTAAAAGTCTTGATCCCCAAAACAATTAGGCCTTAGCATGAGTCTCCACACAGTAAACACATCTTTACATACATGACTGGATGCAGAGGGCAGCAGTCCTCTTGTTGGAGCTCCTTTGTCAGGATGCATTAACTCCTGTGGTTCCACTGCCTGGCAGAGTGTGGTGTTTCAGCAGCAGTCATCTCTGGAGATTCTGCAGCAGCTGACACAGCCATCATCCTGCATCCGCCTCACACAGGGATCCCGCAAAAGGCATAGGATCTGCAAGTAAAAAGTATGAAACAGGAGTTATTTGACAGTAGTGCCCATACACAAGTTCCTTTTAATTACATCCAATAGGCCACCAACACTGTACTTTAAATATAAGGCTTTAGGAGCCACAACTGCTTTTCAGATATGGCATTTATTTTACAAGAAGAATGTGCGAAAATAACCCAGAGATCCAGGAGAACTGTAGTTTTGCCATGGCTTGTCATTTATGCATAAATCTTGAGACTGAAAAAGGGAGAAAACCCATTACATTCAGGATCCTTACAGTATTGCGTCTGCAGCTTACTGAACAATTAGGTGATCAGCAGCTACTGGTTCATTCCCATTTTTTTTTAAAGACAAAAAATGATTTATCCTCCCCGATTCAATCCGAGACGCCATGGAAAGAGACGAGCAGAAAGCGCAGGGACATTTAATTTAGCATCTGAAATACTTAAAACCCAGGGTATCTCACAACAGAGAGCCCAGGCTGTCAAAGATGCGGCGACAATTATTTATTTGGGTCACGTAGTATTTATATACCATTTTGTTAACTGTTCAACCGTTTTAATGACCTGAGAAAAGCAAACAAATCATCGTACAATAAACAAGCAAAACCAGTAGACATTAGGTGTTGCCTGGTATATTGAAGAAAACAAAATTCCCACGATTTCGGGGACATTAGGACAATTCAAATTAGTATAAACTACAAATGTTAGCATTAAAGTTAGCCAGCATGGTAGCAACGAGGCATTTCCGGTGCTGCTGAACTGTGACAGTAGAAATGTTTTCCCCAGGCCCGAAAACCATTTACCAACTTCAGTTAGCGTCCTGTATGTTTACCATCTTTAAAAGACATTACATTAGTTAAACTAACCATTGCAATGCTGGTATCTTTGTTCCTTTATACGAAACGGATAGAGACCATGATTCAGAAGAAGATACAAAATGGCACCAGCTAATTTACACGTGTCCACAGACTGAGATTTTACAGCTAAAACGCTCTAACTTTAACACTTTTTTCCCATAAAGGTGCAAAACGTAAGATACTTACAGCAGACCACGTCGGTACAGAAGATTGACTCGTTCATGTTGTTTGGCATTATGGATATTGGAGAGGACATTTTTGCTGCGTGCTGCTGGTGAGTGAGTCGCTGAAAGACCGTGAAAGCTGCAGCCCCCAGATTAAATAGGTTACCGAGATGTGTGAGGGTCGCCCCCTGGAGGACGGAGAGGAAGGTTTACCTCACATTGTATGCCCCCTGGTATGTTATTTTTACAGTAATATGTGAGTAAATGTTCAGTTAAGTTTTTGTCTAAAGAACTATCCCCCATGAAAACAGTGTTTTGTTGTTGGATGCTATTCATTTTGATATAAGGCTTGTTGTAACACGGCTGTTTTAAGAACATTATACAAAAGAAAAAGCTTTTTTAATTGGGTAATTCGTCGTTATTTTCCTTCGTAACGAAACGAAGCAGAATTCAGCATCCGTGTAAACTCTCCTTTAAAGTCGGTTTTACGCCCTTTCATGATAATCTTAGTTTAAAAAAAATATATTATTAAATTATTATTATTAATATTGTTTTTGTTTGTGGTGTTTTCAGCAGCAGAGTTTTAAGTAAATAATACACTAATGAAGATACAATGAAAAATACATAGGCTACTGTACGTAAATTAGGTCAAGAGAACGAAACGGATTAAATTAAAACATTAAATCATTGCCGATGATACGTCAGATGTGGAACATAAACGCACGTGCACGAAGCGCGTGCTCGACTCTTCCTCCAACACTGTGAGTTGACGGTGCAGCACTGCTTAATTGGACTCCGCGAGTTTAACTGGTCCTCCATCAGTCTCCTGTGGATTTATGTGAAGACAGCAAGCTTTAAAGAAGACTTAAGAGCAGGTAAATTAAGGCTTTGTTTTCAAGTCATCAGTTTTTATGTTTGACCACCCCTATCTTCACTAGTGATTAACTTCGAATAAATTGCTCATTGTTAAAGACTAAATAGTTAGATCATCTCATAAACCAACAATTCAATCTGTTTCTTCTTCAGCTGTTGAATTAACAGCTAACATTGAGGGTAATGTTGCCTGAAATAATGTGTTCCTAATTCAAATGTACGTTTTGTTTAATCTACCACAGGCATTAGACAGTGAAGCAGCAGTACTATGTTCAGAGCAGTGTTTGGAAACAAGAGAGAGGGAGGAGGAAAACGAGGAGAGAAAAAGAACCAAAGACATCCAGGTAAGAGCATAAACACTGAAACCACCCTGTGTAACAATACTATAGCATGTCAGAACAAATAAAAGACAACATTGCGCATTTGGGCTCTGTCTAATGTTGTACGCACAACGTCTTGCATTATTTGATGGCAATATTCAGGTTCTCTTCTCTTGGGTGGTTTAAGTAGAGCCATTTCAATTAGCCTAATTCATCAGTGTGTGCTGTCCTTAACACAGTGTCCCACTGCTTGCATTTAAAGTGTGTCAGAAGAAGTTGGGGTGGGGGGGGGGGGGGGGGGGTTAGGCAAACATCCTGACCTACTAAAAACACAGAGAATTTTACAACAATTTGTGATAGGCTTCAAATGTCTGAAACAAATCTACGTACTTGATATAAATGTGATGTATTTGTTGTAACTAAACTGAACGTTTTGTTGTATTCTCAGTCAAATGTGAACTGAACTGAGTTTTGCTGAACAACATTTAGCTGTTTAACAGGAGCTAGGATGTTTTCACAGAGAGATCTGTCAACCTGCTGCAGTTCAGAGGAGATATCAGACTGCGCAGTGGAGATAGATAAACATAAGTAGAGCTCAGTATTAGAGCAACCATGTTGCCCATTAATATTTGATAATGTGCTGCTCTGGGTTCCAAGAACTGAGAGGAAGATAGAGAACTGTGTCAGTCTCATTAAAAATGATATAGTATGTTTACAGTACATTGGAATGGCTCTGATCATTTGCCCAGAGATCTCACTTCTTCTTAAAAGTGTAACATTAAATGTTTCATGGCTCTGATCCTTCTTCACATTTAGGAATTATGCAAGAGCATATCATGTGGAATTTTAATATTAAGTAGTGGACATCCCGAGTTCTTGTTTTTCTAATGGTAATAACGGCAAAAACAGACATAAGAGAGATCATTTTTCCACAGTGAACTGCTGTTATCTGGTATAACCATTATAAGTGGACATAATGAGGCTCCATGACGGACAAAGTATGAAAATGATTTAAATATTGTATGAAAAAACAATAAGCGTCGGCTCTTTATTAGGTTTGGTTTGGTTTCTTTAAATAGATGTTCTCGCATTCAGATCGTTCCATTACATCAATCAGCAATATTCCCCTGAGACAAGATAGGTTTGCTCTTTTGCTGCATTATACGATGCATATGTTGCTCTTCTTTCTCTGCAATATGTTCATCTGTTGTACAGCCACTGCAACATATGTCGCCCTTTATATTTCCCCTACACACTCCTATCTTCTCCATATAGGAAGTGAGGTGTACACTCACAGCACTTTGCAGAAGGGTAGTCGTGGGCGTGCCACACATGTCAAGGATCATGCCAGTGACCCAGTAAAACTGAGGAGACTGACCAAGGGAGCGTCCATTTCCTTACCGTCCTCCCCTCTCCTCCCTCGACAGGCCGACATAGTTCCCTCCCACTCGTGCATGAAGTTCCCAGGTGAGTTAAATTGAATAACAATAATACACATAAAGCACAGTGTCACTATGAGGAACTGGGAACAGCAAGAAGCTATGCATCAGGGAATAGCTGCAAAGATAGCAGAATGCTTTCATGGGTTCGCCTTGATTAGCAGAGAGCTTCTGTGCATTCAGCTGTTCCATACATGTGACAGCAAATGCAAGAGCATCCCATCTCTGCCCCCAGGGCCTGGGACATGTGACAGATTGTCAGAGTAAATGATTGAACAAGCAAGCAACCCAAATTAGGTAGGTTGATTTTGAGATATTATATGAATTTGGCTCTACTATGAATACAATATTCTTAAGTCACAAAAAAGACAACGCTTTTGACAAAATATATTAAATTAAAAGTCAAGTTCCTAAGCTTTTTCTTTTCTTTTTTATGGATATAGATTTTTTCTTACACTTTTTTTACACCATGTTTATTTCTTAAAGACAATTGAGTGGCAGGTTTCAAAATATACCTTAAATCAGTTAAGGTTAAATATGTTTTCTGTTTGAGTGGAGGACACATTTTCTTGTTTGATTTTATGGTGTCTTCTACAAGAATCAGGATTAATATCTGTTCATTACCACAAACAAGGAATTTGCTTTTGTCAAACATAAACATAGAAGCAGAAAAAAATTATAATAATTCAACCAAGTATAAATAGTCAAGAACCGGAAAAAGAAAATAGAAAAATATATATAAAACAAATAGAAAAAGACACTGCAAAAAAAAGATACAATACATCTTATTTCAAATGAATGAGTTGTGTGGTTTTGGAAGTGTTTGTTTGCACAGAAACTTGCAAAAAAGGATGTGCAATGGTTAATAGAATGAATTATTAAGTATATGCAGTGTAAAAAATATAGTCCCCAAGACGTGCATTAATGTAACACATACAGACAGAATTGAAGATTAAGCATATTCTACGATGTACATACTGTCTCATAAATACTTAATTATTGAATTAAAATAACACTTTTTAAATACATGGGCAAATTCCTGTAGTGTATTTTATGATGTTAACATTTGTTGAGATTCCAAATATGTCACCCACTGTTTAAACAATCAGTAACAGATATAGTTTGTTTATGGCAATAGAAATATAATGAATACTATTATTCTATTTTAACATTATTTCCCCTATAAGTTCTGTGAGATTTTAAATATTTAAAGCCTCCATTTCAAATGTTTGAACGAAAAAGAAAATGCCATGTATGCGTTGTTTGCCTTACGTTCAAAGCAGCACAAGGTGGCAGTGTCCTGCAGCGAGTACAGCCACTCAGAAGAAGGTGCTGTTACATTTTCATTGCATGCAGCACTGCCTTGTTTTTCCTAGTACACTGAACGGTCATGACGAGGGAAATTATACACTGTCATGGCTTTTATGTCTTCTTTGGTCATGCAAAATCAAATATTAAACTGTTTATTGAACAGTGTTCCAGAGTCTACCCACATGTGAGGTTCAAACACCAAATAACCTTGAGTATAAATGTCAGTACATTTCAGTGTTCGCCAACATCTCATCTCTCTGAATTATCTCCAGTCCTAAAGAATGTGCGTTTTCAAAAACCCTCAGATGTTGTTGCATAAATTGAGACACACCCACACACCTCAATATGAGTGCACCACTGTCCCTGCCATCACACAAACGTACAAACACACAGAAAAACACGCACGCACACACAGACATTAGCAGTGCTAATATATTATAGATAAACGCCCACGGTACAGTGAATATTGTAATGCTTGCATGCATGGCTCGCACTCTGTACATACTGCCTTAAACTCCTGGGACACAATTCAAATTCTGCACCACAGATCTCATCTGGGGAGGCTTAATCTCTCTCTCTCCCTCTCTCTCCCTCTCTCCTCTCTCTCCTCTCTCTCGCTTGCCTTGCTCTCCCTCACTTTCTTTCATATCCCTCCTTATCTCCACCCTCTATCCCTCCCTCTCTCCCACCGTGCTCTCCCTCCCTCTCCCTGTTCCTCTTCGCTGTGGCCGAAGGACGGGTAAGGCAGCGAGAGTATGTGGATGGCTCTTCCAACGCGAGAGATCCTCTTGTCTTTGCCTCGTGCCGTGGCAGGACAGACCAGAGAGGTGAGCACGGAGTGTGTGGGAGTGTGTGTAGCATCGTGTCGGGGTTTTTCCAGGTATTGACTGGGGAAGCTGAGTGAGGATGAATTGGCTGTAGGTGAGTGATTGTTAATATGCAATTGAAGTTTGAGTTTGTGTTTTAATTACACATAAAAGGCTATGCATTAAGTTTTCCTTTAAGGTGTAATCATCAGTGTTTTTGAATGAGAGTGGATTTGTTTCATTACAGTTTTGTCCTGACTTCTTTGCATGCGGTTTGTTTGGTTATCAAAGCAATAGGGGCATAAATACCCACATCCAACCGGCGTTCTTTATGTTATTGACCAGAGGGTTACCCTTAGGCTGAACACATTTTATGAGGCATCTTCTATCCCGG